CTCAGTGTGTCAAGTGTGTCATCGATTCTTGGTAACGGGTAGCTATCCTTCTTGGTTACATCATTCAATCGTCGATAGTCTACGCAAAACCTCGTTGAACCATCTTTCTTCTTGACAAGCACGACAAGTGAACACCAAGGGCTAGAAGAGGGCTCTATCACGTCATTTTTCCTCATATCATCAATCATTTCTTCAACCTCTTTCTCACGAGCGAATGGTATGCGTCTGGGCCTTTGACGAATTGGCATTGTATCACCTGTTTTTATTTTATGCTTCACCAAACCAGTTCGGCCAATATCACCATCGCTTCTTGAAAACACATCAGAGAATCGAAGAAGTAAATTTCTAGCTTTCATAGTCTCCACTTTTGTCAGACTTTTGTTTTCGTCTAAGATTTTCGTTACAAAGTCTATTCCCGTACTGTCCTTCTTCACAAGATTCTCCGAGCATTTTCTTATCCAGGCCACTTCTTCCAATACGCCCACAGGCTCTCCTTCTTCAATCGTAATTTTTGAATCACTGAAGTTGAATACCGGAATGCGGTTGACATCAGATGACCCCACGACAGTTCTTGCCGGTAGCCATGAGTTTACGTGTTCCGATTTATCAATCACAGCGCACCTTCGAGGTAAACTTCCTTCCTTCCTCCTAGGTAATGCGATTGGTACGAGAGTCTGTGATTTTGGTGCAAGAACAGTTCTTCTTAAACAGCAAACTTTTCCCAGGGTTCCACCCTTCATCGGAATTTCCTCAGTTCCACATAGTAAAACTCCAGATTTTAAGTCGATGTTACACTGGTGCCCTTGCAGGAAGTCAAGTCCCAGGATGCAGTCATCCAGAATTTTGGCCACAATAACCTCATGTCGATAAACACGTTCCCCAATTTTGATTGTTACATGCAGTTTTCCACTTATCGGTATGCACTGGCCGGTAGCTGATTTCATTTGTAGGCCAACAATTGGTTTAAGGTGTTTCCTGATGTTTTGCTCGAGCAGCCGAACATTTATCACCGTCCTTGAAGCTCCAGTATCTAATGTTAACTGACTGTTTTTCCCATTTACTTGACCGTCTATCACCAGAGTATTTCCATCGTTGGTTTGCTTGATGTAGATTGTTGGGGTTGTTCCGCTACCAGCCAGCGCCCACCCCGCAGCCCTGGCTGGATTTAAGTTTCCCTGCTGGTCAGAAGTTGAGACCGCCGCGTCCTGGCGGTTCATCTTCTTCGGGCAGTCGCTCCGTATGTGCCCACGCTCTCCACATCCATAGCACATGAAGTTCCGACGGCGTGGAGGTACATGCTCCGTTGTCGTCATTTCCCGCAGACGTAAGGTACGGGAGTTACCACGCACGGCTTCCACTTCCAATGCATGGGCCAGAGCTTCTTTCATGTTCTTGTGATGGCCCAGATGAACAGCGGCTCGTACTTCGGGGTCCCGAATACCGTCAATGAACGCTTGGAGAAGCGTGCCTTCAATCATTGATGGAGTCGACCGAAAAGCTCGACGCACAAGTTTCTCGATTTCCACGGACCATTGCTGTAGACTCTCATTAGCACGCTGAGTACGCTCTTTTAATTGCGCTCTGTACACGTGCTCGAGGTGGCTGTCTCCAAAACGTGCCTCAAGTGCGTCGAGGAGGGTACTAAAGCTGAGATCCCCACTTGCGCCGATAGCTTCCAGCACTGAGAGCGCTTGATCACGGAGGGCCAGGGTGAGGGCTGACTGTGCTTCCTTCTGAGTCCAACCATAAGCCTCCATAAGTGTCTCAAACTGTAGCTTGAACGCGGTCCAGGATGTTGTTCCGTCGTAATGGGGAATCTTCAGCCCTTTCGTTGCGCTTAAGGCCGCATTTGGGGCGTCAAAAACGGCTGCAAGACGGCTTCGGCTCTTCAAAGGGCTTGGGCTTGTCACTTCCTGCTTGATTTTGGAGATCTCTTCTTCCACTCTCTCCTCTATCGCCATGACGCGATGTTCCAACTTGCCTAAACCTTCCTCCACTTCTTGTACCCGTTCGACAACCTTTTGCAGTCCCTTCGTGAAATCTTTATGCATGTCCTCCAAGCGACGCGCTTGCTCCTCTTGGCGACGAGCTTGATCTTCTTTCAGCTCCCGCAGCTGTTCTGACTGACAGCGTGCTTGCTCTTCTTGGCGGCGCGCTTGCTCTTCTTGGCGGCGCGCTTGCTCTTCTTGGCGACGCGCTTGCTCTTCTTGGCGGCGCGCTTGATCTTCTTTCAGCTCCCGCAGCTGTTCTGCCTGACAGCGTGCTTGCTCTTCTTGGCGGCGCGCTTGATCTTCTTTCAGCTCACGCAGCTGTTCTGCCATCATTTGCCGCAGCTGTAGCAGAAGATCCATCTGCACAGGCTTGGCTTCTGCATCGCTGGTCTGAGCTGCAGCACCCTCTTCCCTCACACGCTGCGCTTCTGACATAGCACGGGTACTCACTCCTCTTACGTCCTGCGGCACTAGCGGCATTTTTCTCCAATCCCACTTCTGACACCAAATGTTACGTGCCTGACGTCACGTTCCTGACTATGCGGGCTTGGGTTACGGGATTGGATGAAATGAAACACTAATACCGGTTTTCAGACTTTCTATTGCGCTTAAGTTACAGCGTCCACGGAGTTAAGTTATCGGCGTTCCTCTCCAGCAGAGTCCGGCCGACTGACACAACTTTGCCGTTCACGCTAACTTCACTTAACTGACTGCACTTCACTATTTCACTGCACTTCACTATTTCACTCACTTTTCTTCTTTTTCACTTCTTCCTTTTCTTCCGAATCGCTTTAGACTTAGAACTCAACTGCCAGCGGTGAGCCGCAGTTCCGCTTATATACCCCCGGTCAGGTTCTAGAACATTCAATTTCGTTATTTTTTTTTGATCGTCATGCCTCCAGAACCTTCCAATAATTTCGTTATTCATTTTTATTTATTCTCCTTCTCGCTCCTTAATTTTTCATTACTTTCACTCAAATATTCCAGAAAGTTCGACAAAACTTCCATCAACTAAAAAACTTCATGTTTACGGCGGGACTCGAACTCGGGGTCTCTGTGGTGTAATCCACACGCCTTACCGATTACACCAACTCGTGTTGACAATTCACGACGAAATTTACAATCTCTAGGCAACGTTTGACAACCATCCATTGACGTCATGATGTCAAAGAGTTTTCTGTCACAATATTAGCATATGGCAATTTGGTCATGCATCCATAGGTACTCGTTTATCTGTAATTAAAAAAATATATACTTAACTGCAGTAGGGACTATAAACGGTAAGGGGTTTCTCCCCGAAGTTTCTTTCATCTTACTAAAATCTTACTCTAACTTACCTACAATAGAACAATTCTTTGGGATATTTGGATAATCAGATTACATAAGTAGAGGCTTAGAAAGCTCATATCTATTACTGCTATTGCAACATGACGTCATAGACTGGCTGTAACAGCTATGAGAGCCAAAAGCCTCGGAGCCAATTCAAATGCTTGTTTTGTTACGCATACGAATAGTAGAAAAGTATCAATTTGTCAAGTATTTCAAAACATAGCGCTTGACAAAGACTCTTGTCAACAATTTAGTTGTAATATTTGTAGAATAAGGCTTGATGGAGGCTGTTACATTAAAAGCGGCTTTTTTGAGGGGTGAAAATCATCAAATGACTTCTCCGCCCAGGATGAAGGGAGAGGGTTTTATACTGACTAAAAACCACTCACATGTTCCAGGCCGAGATCGCAGTAGTTTATTCATCCTGGCTTTTTAAAGGACTAAATATCGAGCTGTGACACTGTATTGGATCAAGTAGGTAGTGAACGGTCATAAATAAATTAAAACCAACCTAAAACCACAAAAAAAAATCAATAAAATATTTTTACGTTTTATTTACATACTGGCAGGTTGGAAATAGGATCCACTAGTTAGTTCTAAACAAAATGAATATCTACCGATTCAAATATTTCGTTCCGTTCTTTTTTTGAAGTCGGTCATAAGCAATTCTGTGCTCAAAAAAGAATTACTTGCACTATATGTATTTATCTGTCAATTTAAACTTATACCTACTAACAGAAGTATGTTGTTACTCAGATGTTCATAAGAACGGAAGAATACAAGATGAGATATAAATATTATTAGATATCTCTCCTGCGTTATAAATCCTTTAGATAAGGTTAAGCTATCAGTTTGTTAGTTTACGTGTTTGTAGCGAGTAGGTATATCTGAGATCAATACTTAGTATTTGTGATAAGAGAATGTATCGTTCCGTTCCGTCCTTTCGCTTTCATTGGCCAGTTTGAAATTGGAACATCGTAATACTTCCGTATCAAATTCTATATCTTTTCACCTGTTCAAGTTTTAAGGTTAAAAAAGATAAAAAAAATCTTTCTTAAACTAAGGAATATGTGAATAACAATATCAAGATAATGACAAAATTCCACTGATGGAATTTAGTCATCTTCCTCCTGTCCCATAGGAGTTGTAAATGTGTGGCCGGTCGTTTGGAGGTTTGAGGATTTGGGGATTTATGGAGTTGGGAATTGGGAATTCGGGTATCGGGGATTTGGCCTCAGGTAATGTACTTATTAAAAAATTAAATAGATTCATTAATACATTTTATTTCTATGATTATTTAGACACCACTGACATACGGTGAAAGTAAACATCGTGAGCAAACCTGGGCTTCTACTTCTTCTAATTTTTCTACTACCTAATTTCTAATTAAAGTTTGAAATCGCCAACCCGCATTGAGCAAGCCTGGTGGTGATAAATGCTCTCACTTCTTCGTCTATATCCGTATAGGTAATAAAATGTATCATCATCATCATCAGATGATGATGATGATGATACATTTTATTTTACGGTTTTAAAAAAATTCTAATGTACTTAGTTCTTTCTTGACTTTAGGTACTTACTTGGGTTTATGTAATGTGAATACATTTAAATCAGTTCTAGGCCATAATTAGAATTTGCAATTCTGTCGCGTTACATCGACCTTTAGCAGTTGTTTTCCATAACTGCAACTCATTCGTCATGAGGTAACATCATCTTTTGTTCAAAAAAAGAACATAGAAAAACAATTTATCGTAAGTGCTTTCTTTAACGACGCCATTTGTCAAAGGAATTTCCTAATACTCGGGTTTTTCTTTAAAGGAAAAAAACATGGCGTTATTTTGACAAAATTGTTTTTTAAATGTAAAACAATTGAAAGGTTTAATTACTGAAGTATTGCTGTAATAAGATTTATAATATTTTGACGTAAGAAACAATAATAACTGAACTAGACCATAGAGTTTGACACTGGCTGGCAAGAAAACAACATTCTTATTTTAAAACCGATCTCTGCCAAGAATTAAGTAGCTGCCTCTTTTTTAGATCCTTTTCTATAAGATTAGAATACCTAATACCATCTGCATAACTACATATTATAAAAACTTTCGGTCTAATTTTAAGTTGTTTAAATTCGTTCACAGTAGAAGTAAAGTAGTAAGTAAGTAATTCTAGATGCTGAACATAAGCCTTTCCCAATGAATTTCTGACTAGTCTGTAGGTAGTTAGTAAGAATTAAATATATGTTTTGTTACTTAAAATAGGTACGTATACAGTCAGTATAAATCCTATATTATAAAATTAAGTATCCACTTCACTATAACTACCATAAAACAAAGTCGCTTTCTCTGTCCCTATATCCTTAAAAATCTATAAAACTACGCAACGGATTTTGCTACGGCTTTTTTCATAGGTCGAGTTATTGAAGAGGAAGGTTTGTATGTATAGTAACATTCATTAAATAATGGAGAAATTTAGTATCAGCATTGTACCGGACGGGTCGCTAGTACAAGATATGATGAAAATGGTCAGTGAAGTGAGGTGTGAGGGTAATATGATAGGGTCTGCTGCAGTGCGGATATAGTTACCTACTTGTGACGCTACCACGCTACTGGTTGTAGTCATGTGCGACCCGGTACCGGACAAGTGTTCTTGTTTAAGTTACTATGTAGGTACATAGGTACTCTGTTTTAGTGTTAGGTTCATTTGCGAGCCCCAAAGAGATATTAGATAACCACAGATGGCGAGAGATGTTCAGCCAGGATTGCTTGGAAAACGCAATAAGGCACCGCGGCCTTGGACTGAAGTAGGAGAAGAAACGGGTTGATTTTTGTCAGTAGGAGTCTGACACTCTCTCTCACCTAATACTGAGCAAGAAAAGTCATTTGATAACGTGCCCCCCCTCCCTCTTTAAGAATGATTAATTTGCGTATCATTTTTATTTCTTAAGCGCGAAGTTCTGTCTGATTCTTACTAACTAAACGTCTCACGACACGATCCCTGGTCCTTCTCCGACTCTGGGTCTAGGGTAGATTATTGCGGTTGCATCAGCAACAGTGCGCACTTTGTACTACTTCTAAGTCTTAGTTTTCGTCGAGAATAATTTTGTCACTATCACTTATTCATATCACATATCAATTCACTAAGTTGTAAGTGCCTATGTAAGTGTCAATAATTCCAGAAATTATTAGGTGCCTAGGTACTTAATAAACCAAGTTCCCTACCATATTTTTAATTTTATTATTGATATTTTATTTTTTATTCTGTTTTAATATTTTTCTATTCAATTTCAATTACGGTTTCAATAGACAAGACACGGATAAGGAGCAAACAAAATCATAAAAAGAGAACTGTACCTATTTATAAATCATTAAAAGTGAATTTTAATTGTTTATAAAAATGAAATAAAAACGTCCAAAAGGCCACTGCTTAGCTTAGTGCTGATGTCCGGGCACACAGGTTTGGGACATGTCGGTTTTTAGCACTAGCCGGATACTTTTTGTTTAGCTTCAATAAGTTTATTTACTTTACAATTTACTTATCGAAGTTTTTGACAATAAATCTATTATTTTTCAATAATAAGACCGATATTATAGATATTGCCACGGTTAATTAATATTATATATTTAATTATTAATCAAAATCCTTCAACAAACTCATTAAATTCAAGTATATCCATAATATGTCTACATCGACAAATCAGCGCTGATACCTTAATTAAATTTTCAATAAGTACCTATATGCAGATATTAATTGCGAACTACACTCACGGTATATGCAAATCATGTGCAGAACTCAAATTTAATGCAAGGATCAGTGAAAGGTCTTATTAAACCGGTCACGATTGGCTGCCATTAACGGATCATGGGCCGACATTGAAACTTTAAGTTATCTAGTTCATTTGTTGGTGGTTTTTATTGTGACCTTTGTCACTTGTTTTGCCTGGGGTTATCGGGATATCGCCTTCTTTTGTTTTGCCTGGTTGACCTCGTGAACTTTTAGCTAGTAACTTAGTAAGTGTTGTATCAATTCGGTTTCAGTGTATTCTATATCAAATAAGACATAGGTTCTTGAGTTATGATAATATAGCACTTTAAATAAATGCGTGGAAGAATCATGGTATCTCATACATCATCAGGTAATCTGCCCCGCTCATTAGCCAACCAATGACATTGAAAAAAAATGTTTGTCAATTTTGTTTACACATTTTTTTGTTAGATAAATTTCTCTTGTTCTTCACCTATCCATATTTAATTAACTCTATAGGTATAATATTGTATTAACGGTTAAACAATACGTAATTTCATAGCTGCCAATCATTTATGGGCGAAGAATTTACTTCCGAATACAGAGTAAAACCTCTAAAAATGTAACAACTCACTGAAAAAATCTAGACTTAATACGTAGGTACACATTTGTATGGTCATTAATGATGGCCATTTCTGAATAATCTAAACTATCTAATATTATAAATGCGAAAATAACTCTGTCTGTCTGTCTTTTCTTGACGTTTTCAAACTACTGAACCGATTTCTGTGAAATTTGGTACAGACACAGTTTGGAATTCGAGTAAGGACGTAGGATAGTTTTAATATCAAAAAGCAGCAGGAAGTCACTATTCCACGCGAACGGAGTAGCGGGCAAATGCTAGTATTTTAATAAGACATCAAAGTCACAATCCGATACTAAAAATGCGATTTGACAGTTCAATTACGATCAAATTAGCCAACATCTAACAGTTGTAGCCAACTCAAATACACTCAGTTCACAATATATAGATCCTAAAGTTGTGCAATTTATCCACTACGGACTTGATATCTGCGCGTGCGCACCTCTGTAGGACGCAAGTTTATTTTTATTCGTTTTATGGGGTCTTGCGCAATCATGGCCGACATTAAGAACTCTTATCTCATTTAAAGTATAAATTGAGTCATACCCACGTGACTTTTTACACTCGTAACTCCATTTATAAGGATAACTTGTTATTTGAATATTATTTATTTGCTCAACAGTTGTTGTTGTAATAAACCGACTTACCTTACTTGGTTACCGAGGCAAGTGGTTGGAATTAGACCATATTTCATTATTGGAATATTAATATGTAATTGAGTACTGCCTATTATAGGTAGTAAGTAGCCTTCGGCGATCTCCCTCCTAATTATTAAGCTTTAAATTGGTGAAAACCACATTCCTATAAGATTGTCTAAAATGTTTTGTTTGCGCATGTGCTTATTAATTTTAGAGTTAATGTTTTGTATTAATTTAGAGTTAATGTTTCTACGTAATTATTAGAATTTAGCTGTATCTAGACAGTATACGAATATGTAAACGTTAATATAAAGTACTATTTGTAAAGCTATGCGCAATAAGCTCTACTACAAATTATGTGCAGTATAAGTTAAGTTAAGCAATTAATTTGTTATTAAGGATTTTACATTTAGTCATATCTACTAAGAATTTCAATCAAATCAGACCAGAAAAAGTATGCAGCCAGCTCTGAGCCTGGATTCACTGCTGGCTGCATGTTACACACCTTTTTTTAGAAAAAAAATATAAATTATTTTTCAGTATCACCACATAGTATAATACCACGGAAACATATGTATAAAACAAAGTCGCTTTCTCTGTTCCTAAATCCTTTTGTATTTTTAAATCTTTAAAACTAGGGAACGTATTTTGATGCGGTTTTTTAAATAGATAGAGTGATGGAAGAGGTTGGTTAATGTAAATTAACATGCATTTAATAGTGAATTTTAGTATCAGCACTACACCCGTGCGAAGTCGGGGCGGGTCGTTAGTTTGTTTTAATAATACTAAACGATTACACTATAATAATATTGTTATTAATTCAAATACATTTTATTATTAATTATAATAATACTCTAATTAAAATAGTGCACGAGTTGCGTGACGAAAGTGTCCCGCATATTACAGTATTGCATATTCATATGGGCATAAATCAAAGAATTTATGCGCAAGAGCACAATACGTAATAACGGCCGCGCCCAATACAAGTGCCCTTTCGATATGTGGAGCTTGGATTATTGGAATAATGTTCCTATGTAAAGTAAATAGATTAGTTTTTCATTAACATGTTACTTTGTTATAAAGGATGTAACTAAACGATGAAGTTATAACTAACGGTACCTACATAACATTAGAAGATATTTTGGCTTTTAAAATGCCTAATCACTTATCTGGTGGTTGACTTAAAACTTCTATTATCTTGATTTTATTTATTTTAAATTATAATTAGACGACAGAGAATTGGTACCGTTCTTCTCTGCACAAAGCTTTCTGTAGCCAATCCTCGTCGAAGATATCTCCTTCTGGGCCTGTCTCGGCGTCTGTTGACGTTGTGTGGGCTCCATTCGGTAATAAATTTTGCCCACCGCTCTTCTGACATGCGGTAAACATGTCCAGCCCAGTTCCACTTGAGGCTTGCGGCTTTCTGACCAATGTCAGCGATTTGAGTTTTGGAGCGCAGTACGGTATTCCTTATTTTATCCGATAATTGATCTCCTAATTTCGAAAATTTTTAATCAATTTTAAACTCGAGATATGGAGAAAACATATTAGAGAGGTCGGTAATGACAATTGTGTTCCGTAGCAAATATGCACTTAATGTTAAACTGACAGAAAAGTCTTATTTTATTCATTTTACCAGGCAAATTTGATAAATTGCTTACAAAAAATTAAAATGTCATTGGGTTTTTAGTCAGTTAGAGTCTGATACTCCTCGCACCAGCCCCACATAGAACGGGAGAAGTAATTTGATGCTGTTTGCCCCTTAAAAATACTCTACGACTAGTAATTAATATAACTATGTATGTTATATTCTTAGTTATGTTATATTGACGTAGGTAATATTTACATCCGTTGACAACCGCTTACTA